CCATGAGACATTATATTTTTATGACCCAAGAAAATATCCATATGGATGTTCCTTCCACCTGGCACAGATTGCCACCCATTCATGCCTTCTCATACTCTACAACCTCTGTCTTTGTTTCTTTTATGGGTGTGTAAATACCATCTCCAATCATGGATGTCTTCCAAGATGTCTTCTGTCACATGAAAACCCTTCACATACTCAGAGGCAGCTCATAGGAGGACTAGTCAATTCCAGAAGCCTCCTGAAAAAAACAGCCACCCTCTGACCTTTTGGCATTCCCAGCAGGGCCAGAATTATTCTGGAGTCTGCAGCAATGGAGAAGTATGTACCAGGGTAAGTAGCAAAATCTAATATTTAAGGGGAGGGGGAGGGAGGAGACCCTGAACCTCAAGTCACAATGTTCTCTGAGCAGAGACTCCCTTGTGACAGGGTTAAGAAGTAAGAGTCCCCAGAGACACATAACCAATGTTGGAGGTCACAAGGGGAACAGAGCAGGGCAGGCTAGAAAGGAGTTTGGGGGGAGGGGGGAAGGGAGAGCAATAGTCCAGTTAATAGTTTCCTATTTAAACTAATTTTGCATGCTAACTAGGGTTTCAAGCTTATGTGTTTCTACCTGCTGGAGTTCAAGAGCTGGCAATCCCCTCTAAATATCAGCACCTTGGGGCAATACTCCATTGCCCCGCCTTAGTTATGACTTTGATTCCCAGACCAGCCTGAGTATTCATTTGCATTTATTAGTCACACATGCTATATTTCCGCCAATCATTTAAGGAAGTAAAAAGAAGAACTGCATCAACATTCTATAGAGCTACACACTTATCTGCCTTAAAAAAGAAACAGGACAGAATTTCAAGTCACTGGCTACAGCAATGATTCAGTGCAAATAAAGCTGAGCTTTATATTTTCCTAGCTTGGTTGCGTCGCATCCATCAAGACTAGGTTTCTATACACATTCTTCAAGAGACCCAGGAGGAGGCACAGCTAGGTGGCACAGTGGATAGAGCACCGGCCCTGAAGTCAGGAGGACCTGAATTCAAATCCAGGCTCAGACCAAACACTTGACACTTACTAGCTGTGTGACCCTGGGCAAGTCACTTAACCCCAATTGCCTAAAAAAAAAAAAAAGGATAGGGACCAGACCTTTGGTTTCACTGGCAATGGGAACTCCTGGATAAGCAAACTCCCTCCCTCAATACAGGTAGCACCTTTCATGTAACTTACAGTCTTAGAGAGTTGCCTGGATCACTGAGGGTTTAAGTGACTTGCCCAATGTGTCAGAGCCAGAACTTGAACCTGGTGTACCTGGCTCCACGACTTGTTCTCTATCCATTACGTTATATGGTACAAGGAAAAATGGCTCTGGGATTAGGAAGACCTGGGTTCAAATCCCACCTTTGAAACTTAATGGATGAGTATTCCTGGATAAGTCATTTAATCTCTCTTAGACTTAGTTTCTTCATCTTCAATATGGATATAACAGCACCTGTGAGACTCAAATGAGAAATTAATTGTTGCACACATTTTTCAATATCATAATTAAAGCAATTTCACTGTGTTAGAGAAAGTACTGTCTCCACAGATACACCATAATAAACTTTTTGGAGGCATTTAATAATAAGGACATTTGGGAAAGTTCTCGAGGGTCCCAGAACCTGCTAAGTATAGGCCCAGCCACCTCTGATGATCCCTCAGATTCTGATCTGTTAGATTTCAGAAGAGGAGATGCCCCTGTGGGCCTCTCACCTTCCTCATCTGTCGGCTTTGTTCCCAGGAATATTATGAAAAGGCCCAGAGGATGGCTTTCAACATGCACGTCAAAGGGATGGGTATTCTTTAAAGGAGCTATGGATAGACAGTGACAAGAATTAGGCTCCGTATTGCCAAAGGGAATGGCCACAGCAATGGCATGACAGAGCCACTGATTCATGGGAGTACTTGGGCACAATTCAACCCACATTGATTAAGTGCCTGATTATTATTATCAATAATAATAATAACAATAATAATAGCTATGTGCCAGGTGATGAGTTGGGTGCTAGGAATACAAAGGCAAAGCAGATCAGCCTTTGCCCTTAGAGAGCTTACAGTCTTCTGGGAGATAGGATACAATATGTACCCAAGGAATCAAATACAAAGTAAATATGAAGAATTGCAAAGTCACTTCCAGAAGGAAGGAAGGAAACAAGCATTTATTAAGCACCTACTGTGTGCCAGGCAGTGCACTAAGTGCTTTACAAATATGACCTCTTGTGATCTTCACAACAGTCCTGGGAGGTAGGCACTATGGTTATCCCCATTTTACAGATAAGGAAACTGAGGCTTGGAGGTTAAGTAACTTGCCCAGGATCACACACCTAGTAAGTGTTGGCAGTCAAACCTAAACAGAGGTTTTCCTGACTCCAGGCCCAGTCACTCATCTCTCTATTGCACCACCTGCTGCCTCTATGACAAAGTGTTAAAAAGTGAGCTAGATGGGGCAGGGCGGACAGCCAGCTGGCCAGTTTGACTTGACCCTCTAAGAGCATACCCAATGAATTGGCTAATTTTACACATAAGTGACCATGCACTGCTATATGACCTTACTTGTAATTGTCATTTAAGACCTATACGGATTTGAGTTGCGTTATGTGGGTTGCTTTGAAACCAACACCCAGTTTTCAGTTATTTACCTTTCGGTTACTCCATTTCCCCCTTATATTACTCCCCCTTCCTAATAACCCCAAATTTGTCAATATTTATCTTCTAAAGAGGAAAAAAATCAGGACTCTGTCTAGAAAACAATGCATATATGGGCCTGATCTTGCCTTGAAGTCCCATAGCAAGGCAAATGTCCCAGAAGACCACTGCCCTGGACTCTTAGTGGCCACAAACCAAACTGGCTCTGACCCAGGTCAAGAAGGGGAAGGCCAGAGAGCTCGGATTCCCTCCAAAGAGCCTGAGGACTGTGTTGTCCTCGGTATCTAAGACTCCTGGGAGGTCAGTTTGTCTGTAAGCCCAATCCAAAGGTCTGGATCCACCATAAGCCAAGCCAGCGACTTTCTAACACTGCTGATCCTTGGGCCTGTCTACAGATTGGGGAGAACCTTGGGCTGAATTGCCAAGAACTGGTACAGATCTAAGGGTGGAGGTGCCCTGTGGGGAGCTGGGGTAGGGGAAAGCACTTGGATTCCCAGTCAGACTCAGGTTACCGTTTGTAACCTAGTTTACTGCATATCCTTGGGCAAATGCCTCAGTTTCTCCGTCTATCAAATGAGGGGTAAGACTAGATGACCTCCGAGGTTCCTTCCAGCTCTAGATCTAGGCTCTTATGGTCCTACTGTGTGTTCAGTGCAAAGTGAGGCTCTGAAGAAGACACCAAGGAGGATAAGGGAGGCTTAGTGGTACAGAAGAAATCATACAGGTTCTGGACTCAGAGGCCCTAGGTTCAAATCTTGCCCTGATGCTTATTACTTATACAAGCTTGGTCAAGTCACTTAACTTACCTAGGCCTCAGTTTCCTTGCCTGTAAAATGAGGGGGTTGGACTCAAGGGCCTCCTGGAATTCCTTTCCAGCTCTAACTCTGTGATCTTATGTGTGACCTTGGGCAAATCATTTCATGTTCCTGGGTCTTTCAGCCCCTTATCTCGAAAATGAATAGTTTACACTAGTCCAGCAGTATTAAACACCCATATAAACAGAAGTCCCTAATCTATACATAAGGATCCTTGCAGGTCCCATGTTGACTTAGTTTTCAAATGTGATCATTCTCCGTGTTTTGCTGTGTGATTTATGTCAAGTGCTTCCCAATGACGTTTTAATGTGGTTGAGGCTGTAGTTGGGAGTGTCTGAGCCCTCTGAACTGGATGGCTTCGGTGGCCCTTTACAGCTCTAGAGCTGGAGGGAGGGCCCATTCTGCTCAGTGGAGGTGGGAGAGGGGAGTGACAACTGCTCCAAGGCAGGCCCCACCGGGCCAGATCCTAGCCTGGTCTGCTCCCTTTTCCCTACCTTCCTTGCCAAGGCACCTGGCTAGGCTCCTTCTCAGTCAGTCACAAACCATCTGTCCTATTTGGAGGCACCAACCTGATAGCTTGCCCTGCTCCCAGCCTCTGCAAAAGCATATGGGGCTTCTTACTGATTATGGGTTGTGATGGAAAGGGAACCATGCAGACCAGGCAAAGAGACGGAATCATCTGGGACAAAGCATGGTGTCCCTGGTCCAAAAGCCAGAGACATATTCATGTCATTCAATTCCTAAAGTCTGAAGAAGTGACCCATCACAACTAGAAATGGCACTCCTTTCAGTAGCATATTGCCTATTCCACTTGCAGCATGACTCAGTACCTGGCACAGAGTGCTTGGCTTGGAGGCCTGTGTGACCCGAGGCAAATTGTTTCTCTTCTCCAAACCTCAGTTTCCTCATCTGTAAATGGGGATAGGAATAGCACCTACCTCACAAAGTTGATGCCAGACTAAATGAAATCATAAACATAAAGGGAGAGGGAAATCTCAGCCTTTCAGGGCTCAATTCAAGGTGATCTCCCCCAGACTTGTCCTGCTGCCCCCTCCCCATTCCCCGCTGTTAATGTTTCTCACCCCACACTCAGAAGTTACTTTGGATACATTTTATATAGTTTCTCTGCCTACATGCCGTCCCCCCTCTCACTCCTCCCAATGGAAGCACCCTGAGGACAGGCATCAGTTTTTCATTTTTTGTTTTGTTTTGTCTTTCTATCCCCAGCACTTAGCATAGTGCCCAGAACAGAAGAGGTGCTTAAGAAATGTTTATTTTAGTGCAAGTCTCATTTCTACTATTATTAAGAAAGAACAAAGGAACAATTAGATGGGTTTGGCATCAGAGGGTAACCTAAATAACATTTTTTAATTAGGGAGTAAGTTAAAAGTGGCAATATCTTGTTCAAATCCTTGCATGCTCCACGTTGTCAGGACAATCACTTGTTTTGACAAGTTTAATGTTAGTCTAAATATTAAGTGTCAGAAAAAAAATTCTCCGCACCAGTGATACTGGCTGATTAGTCTTTATTTACATCAACAAAGTTGATATATTTGAAGCATTAATTAGTTTTACCGTTGTGGTGACCTTTCCATTAAAAACAAACTTTAAAAAGAAATAGAAAAACAAACATTTGCTTGTCAGTATTTTCAATTCACTCAGTCAGTTTTTCCAAAATCTTGACCCTTGGGACTCTTCTAGGAGCGTCCAAAGTGTCCAAGTCTCCCAACAGTTGGATGAGAAGGACAAAGGCCCCGGGTTCAAATCTCAGATCTGCTAAGTGTTAGCTGTGTGCCCTTGGGCAAGTCAATTACTTTCTCCGGACCTCAGTTTCTTCATCCATAAGAGGAGGGGAATGAAAGATACTCTGTAAGGCTCATTCCAAGTTTAGGTTCAAGGATCTGAGGAACTGAGCCAGCCAAGTCGTCTGCCAGTGCTTCACTAAGGGCAAGAAGGTGTAACCCTGGGCTCTCCAGGGTTATGCTGGCAAAGTGTAAGTGTGGCCAAGTCCCATCTGGCTGGAAGGACCTGGAGGACAAGCTGGCGAGGAACCCTGTGGGTTATCTGCGGGCCTCGAATTCACCAAGTTCCTAGAGTCACAATCACAAGCCAATGTTTCAACCACGGTGGCTCTCTCAGAGCCTGTCCTAAATCAAGAGATGGGTGGAGCCCTGCTTCAGTGGACAGGTGCCTGCTGGTGAAGCTGCTAGTCTGTGAAGGACTGCTCCCCTCAGTGGCCCACTCTCAAGGGTAAATGGCGTCCTTCACTGCAGGACTGCTAAGGGGGTGTGCTGACCCTGGCTCAGCCTCTGAGCTGCCTGGGCTCCCCTGACTGTAGTGACAAACAAAACTGCCAAAGTAAAGGCAGAGGCAAGGGAGAAGTCAGGGAGTAAATGAAGCAGACATCCCTTTGAAGCAAAACGCAACTGAGCACGTCAATGGTACCTCTGTCACAAAACACAGGAGTTCACCATTTGAAGGAGGTTTCAGAACCTACTGTAGCGGACAGACCATCCAGCAGTCTTGTAGTCAGAAGACCTGGCACTGAGTCCTGGCTCTGCTAGTTCCATGAAAAGTTACCTCAGGAAAGTCACTTAAACTCTCTTAGGTCTCAGTTTCCTCATGTGAAAAATGAAACTAATGGGTACTTGCTCTCCACACCCAGGACCAGAGACTAAGAGCTTGAAGGGACCTTCAAGGCTATCAAGTCCAAACTTTGATTTTACAGATGAGGAAACTGAGGCCCAAAGAGGGAAGACGACATCCCAGAATTCCAGCCTCCCAGGATCTCAGAGTTGGAAGGGTTTTCAGTGACCATCCAATCCAATCCATACCTAAAAAGGACTCCTCTCTGCAACAAGAGGCCTTGAGTCTCTGCCATATGAGAATCAGTTAAAGGAAACAGGAAGGTTTAGTTTGGAGAAGAGACTGGGAGGGGGGGAGGAGGGGACAAATGATTACTATTTTCAAGTATTCAAAGGACTGTTATTAGGAAAAGAGATCTGATTTGTTCCATTTGGCCCCAGAGGGCAAAACCAGACATATCAGGCACAAGTTAGAAAGGGGCAAGTCCAGGTCTGATGGAATGAAAGGCTTCCAGAAGTACACTGGGTGGCCTCAGGAGGTAGGGGGCTCCTCCCTTCCTGGTGGGCTACACCAAGAAGCTAGATGGTCCTTTGTTGGGTGTGGTATAGTAAGGATTTTTTTTTTTTGCTTCTGGGTTGATCTACATGCTTCAAAGGTCTTTTCCAGCTGAACAATTCTGCAATTTCGTGTTCCTGTCATAATGGCAGTAGGCAATGGTAGGGCTTCGATTTCAAAGTGGGTCCAAAATGGCTGAATTCAGCACCTTCCCACTGCACCAGGGTCGATGTGAGAAAAGCACTTGTCAACTTTGAGCTCTCGAGAAATGTCTCCCCACATGCAACAATACCTCCTCCCCCTCCCTGAACTGAAAAGGCTACTGGGGCAGTCAGTCTTCTGCCCCAGCAGCAGCCCAAAGGGTACAGCCTACACCTTTGGCAACTTCTCCCACTTTGTCTGACTGGAGATCTGCAGGTTGGGAGTGCTGAGCTCCAAGCTGTTTCCTTTGGAAGCATAGTACAGGCTGCGCAAGGCCATAGACTGTAAGAGGGCCTCTCGAGCTTGGGACACCTCAATGTTTTGTTCTTGTGAGATCTGAAGGCTGATGTGATTCAAGTTGTTCAGCAGTAGATTGGAAGCCACGAGACTGGTCACAGAGCGGCATCGGGTCAAGTTCTCTTCAAAAACCTGCTTATAGAGTTCATCTACCTTTTTTTCCACATAGCTGTTAAGCACTGAATTGGACAGGGGCCGCTTGTGTAAGAGGATGCTTCTTTCTCGAACCTCATCCCCAGGCAGGAACTTGTATGCCACAGGGGGCAGCCTGCTGGGGATGGAAGAATGGCCCAGTGGGATGTCCTCTGAGAGAAGCAGCGGCCCAGTGAAAGCCTCATCATAGATATGGTCCATGAAACAACCAGAATCATAAGCGTGCCCCACGCGATTCCCCCCAATATGGAGGTCAGGATAATTCTGGCAGATGCTGGTGCAGGACCATGAGCGATACAGATCCAGCTCATTTTCTTCTGGTGGGGCTCTTTGGGGGATCTGCAAAGCTGCAGATGCATTACCCTGGAGGACTGCCCCCTGCTGGCCCTGCAGCACCACCCCATCTGCCAATTTCTGCAGACACGCATCCTTACTGTGCTCTGGGCAGCTTGCAGGCCGACCTTTGGCCGGCCTTTTCACTTCAGTGGAGGGAGGCTTAACATCTTCGCTCTCCAAAAGCTGGTTTGTCCAAGTCTCCTTTTTCTCTTTGGGGTTCTGCTTACACACGTGTGCTTTGTAGGGCTTAGTGTATTCTTGGTACAGGATACCAGGTAGGAAAGCTTCTGCTAGCATTTTGTCAGACAAGCCTGCTAACCAGCAGAGTGCAGTATGACCCTACAAATGAAGGGTGCAGATCAGGCATATGGAGCAAATGGGCAGGGAAGGAATCGAGCAAAAGACCTTTGGTCTGCAGATTCGATTTGATCGGGCACCCGTTTTCTTATCGATAAATTACACACACACATACACACATACATACACACACTCATACACACACACATACTCATACATATACACACACACACGCACACTTGCATACAGGCACACACACACATACACACATACACATATACACACACAGAGAAGCACACATACATTCACACACATGCACACACCCACGCACATGTACACCTACATGTACCTATGCACACAAAAAGAAACACACATACATACTCACACATATGTACACACACATACACTTATACACACTCACATACACAAATAAACACAGAAACACATACACACATATGCACACACATGCACATATACACATGCATACTTGCACACAGGCACACATGTACACATATACACAGAGAAACACGCAGTATACATACACAAGTACTCACATACACATACACACACGCACACATGTGTGTGCACACACATATACACACACACACACTGCTGGCCATTTCTGGACTATCTTCTGACCAAGCTGCCCCCACTCCAGCCATCATTCTCACCTCGCCCCACCCCATAACCTTGGAATCTGCCCTCTCACTGCCTGGCTCTGAAAGGCAAGCTTGTCTCGTCCCTTCCCTTGCCCAGGCCTCCACTGACTTGCCCTTCATCTCCATACCACCCCCTACCCCTTTTCAGCTCCCTTTGACATGATATCTTCCCCCATTAGAACAGAAGCAGGGACTGGCTTGCTTGTTTATATTTGTACTCGCTGGACTTAGCACAGTGCCTGGCACATAGCGTGCACTTAATAAATGCTCATCTATCTATTACTCTATGTCCTTTATAAAACTTGCACAAAAACATCCATTGAAAATGGGTGAGAGCCAACATTTCTTAATTTACTAATAAACCACTAATCTATTAAGTGTCTCCCGTGTGGGCCAGGTGCTGGTAATGTAAGCACTAAGAAGCTTCCATTCTAATGGGGTAGACAGCAAGTACAGATAAAGATACATCTGGGACAAATGTAAAGCAAACAGACATAAAAAGGAGTGGACCAAGAGGCCCCTAGGAAGGCGGTTGGAGCAGTTTTGTGAGAGCAGGAAAGACTCTGTGCAGAAGGGGGTGCTTGAGCTCCATCTTAAAGAAAGAGAAGGCCTCTAAGGGGAAGGTGAGGAGAGAACATATCCAGGGATGGGGGATGGGCAGGGGGCCGCCTTGGAGAAGGGAAATGAACCGAGAGAATGCCATTTGGGTCTGGGATGGCAGAGTGCAGGAGAGGGAGTAACGCAGGAACACTGGAAAGATAGCTTGGTGCCAGGTTGGAGAGGGATTTAGAAGCTAAACAGAGGAGTTTGGTTGGGGACCCACTAGAGTTGGTTCAGTACGGCAGTTGCATGCTTAGATCTGTACTTTGGGAAGATTGCTTTGCATCAGCGTAGAGAATGGACTGGAGTGGGGAGAGGCTGGAGGCAGGGAGACCAAGCAAGATGCTGCTGCAGTAATCTTGGGGAGAGGAGATGAGGTAGCTGTGGAAGCAGAGAGAAGGGCTCAGATGGGAGAGATCTGGCAACTGATTGGACATGAAGATCGAGGGAGAGGGAGGAGCTGGGAATGACATCAAGGCTGTGGACCTGGGTGAGTGGGTGGACTGTAGTGTCTGGCAGAAATAGGGAGCCAGGAACAGTTTAAGGGGAAAACATGATGGGTTCAGTTTTAGATATAGTGAGTGGAACTAAAGCTTAGGGGAAAGACTGGAAGTCATCCATATAGACATTGACAGTTAAAGCCATGGGGTCTGATGAGGTCACCAAGAGAGGACAGAAGGAGAAGGGAAGAGAGACTATGACAGAACTTGGTAGAATGGCCACATCAGGGGCCAGGATTGTGGATGCTGAGTCAACAAAAGAGGCTGGGAACAAGTAGTGAGACAGATGGGAGGTAAGCCAGGAGAGAACAGCATCAGGAAACCCCAGAGAGGAGAACAACCAGGAGAAGGTGGTCCACAATGCCACATTTTAAGGATGGGTCACTCTGGATGAAGACTGAGGAAAGACCATGAGGTTGGATCATTGAGAGATTGTACCTTCAGTTGAGTGATGAGGTTAAAAGGCTGGGGAGCTGGACAGGAGAGGAGGTGGAGGCAGGCAGACAATGTTTAAAAGAAGAATGGCTAATGACAGGAGGAAAGATATAGGGGATTGTTGAGGGAATGAAAGGGTCTAGTGAAGGGGTTTTTAAGGATGGGAGAGTCATGTCTGAAGGCAGCAGGGAAACAATCAGTTGATAGGGAGAGATTGACAGAAAGGGGGGTGGTGACTGAAGGGAGATGTAGAGGAGGTGGCCTTGGCCATCTCTCTTTGTGAAAAACTGGGGGAAATGAGGAGAGAATGAAAGATGACAGAGAATGAGACAAGAGGGAGTTCCTTTTTTTTTTTTCAGTAAAATAAGAGTCAAGGTCCTCAGCTGAGAAAGAGAGGGAGGAAGAGGTGTGAGGGGCTTCAAGAGTGAAGAACAGATTTGGAATAGCTTCTGCAGGAGTGAGATAGGGAATCAATTAGGGATGAATAAAAGAACTGCCCTGCTTCAGTGAGAGCCCAGCTTTGGTTGGAAAGTCAGCATGGTTGTGAGATTTCCTCGAGCTTTGTGCGGCATCTCCTGAGTAGGAATGAAGGAGGCAGACGGTGATGAAGAGTTAACAGGGAGTCACTGGGATTTACTGGGTAGGGGAGTGACTGGAAGAAAGATGGCACCCTCAAAATAGGAGCGTTTGGAAGAGGTACCATTGGTGGGAAAGGCCATGGGATGTTTGCTGATGAAGATCACACCCCAGTGATGCCATCTCAGCCTGTGTGACTCACTTCACTCCCTCCCAAAACCAAAAGGGGGAGGGAGGGCCGTTACTCATTCAGTGGTGCTCAGGACACCTAGCCAAGCCCTGAGGTGATTTGGGAGCCAAGGGGTAGAAACACTGAGGGACAAGGTGGAGAGGGGTGGGATTTTGCCTGGATCTAGTGAGGTTAAAGACAATCGTAAGGGGCCAGTCCTACCTGGGCAGCCCTGGTGGGCCAGGGTGGGAGGGGATAGAGTGGAGTAGCCTTGAGTGAGAGTGAGAGAAGGGAGTGGTGTTGGAAACAAAGCCAGGATTGTCACTGATGCCATACCACGTCTGCTACTTTGGAGGACCTGGCTACAGACAAGTGGTTTTAGGGAAGCAATGTTTTATAGACAAATGGACGCTGGCTTAGGACTGAGAAGGTTCAGACCCTCCATGCACTGTCCCACTTGCCCCTTCCTAGTCAATCTCCCATCACTACACTTTTGCACTGGCTGTCCCCCTTGCCTGGAATGCACTCCTTTGCCTCACTGCCACTCTCTTCAAATCCCTGGCTTCCTTCTAAGGCTCAGCTCAAGTCAGGTCCTGTAAACAAGGTCCTTCCTTTTAAAGCCTTTCACACCCTAGTCCTAACCTGCTTTTCCAGACTTATTATACATTATTACCTTGCATGGTGCCCTCTTGTTCCTCACACACAACATCCCCATCTCCCACCTCCATGCTTTTGTGGGGCCTTTCCATCATGCTTAGAACACACTCCTCCCTCCTCACCTCCACTTCAGAGAACCCTCAATTCAGGTGCCTCCTCCTACATCACCTAACCACATCAGCGGCCAGTGCCTCTCCCTCTCCCTGCCATTACCTTGTCTTTAATTTATCTGTAGCCTGTATTTACTTCTATGTGCACAATGTCTACACCATAGATCAAAATTACAATGAGCCCCTAGAAGGGAGGGACTGTTTCATGCCTGTCACACAGCAGATACTTTTTTAAAATAAATGCTTGTTGAATGAATGGATAAAATAAAAATTCAATTAAAATATAAAGCTATATAATAATTAAAATAATCTACATCACTTATAAATGTTCTCACACATATAAATGTTCTCAGCACAGTACTAGAACCTAGGTGTCCTAGTACAGGAAGTTCCTACCACACTATAGGGACTGGATCTATGCTTTTATTGGTATAAGGAACTCCCTCCCTCATAAAAGAGGCACTGGTGCCCCGGCCCTATTGCCCGGGACTGTCTCTTGTCAGCTTAGCCTAGAGAGCTGCTTAGAGATCTGAGAGCTTAAGTGATCTGCCCAGGGTCACACAGCCAGCATGGGTCAGAGGCAGGACCAGAACCCCTTCTTCACAGCCAGCTCTCTCTCCACACTGCCTGGGCAATGTACCACCCTACAAAGCCAACTTAGTTTCCAGGGAAGTGGGGGCCAAATATGCCACCAATTACTAAATTTTTTGAGTCCTAGGCTATTGGCAAGTAAGGCTAGCTCAGAGTGGGGCATGTCACTGTCCCTAACCCTAGGGAGCTACTACCCTGGGAGCTTTCCCATATTCAAAGCCTGCAGGAGGGCATTTCACACAGAACATACCTGGCCCTCCCTCTCCGTTGCAGTCCTAGGCTGTGATCTCTAAGCGTTCCAGGGCAAACTCCTTGGGGACAAGGTTCGAGGGCCTGAGGCTTACCTTGCTCCGAGGTACCAGCAGTGCAGCACATGCAGCCACTCAGGACTGGCTGCCTTTTCTTGGTTCCTGCCAGAGATAGTACTGACCACAGAGCACTCCTTCCCCTTTGGTGGCCAACCCAGTGGGAGAACTGCGTGGGCTGGTCACAAGGGCAGTAATGACAGGGCATCGAAAGAGGATGTGGGAATGTGCACCCCGAGGGCCCAAGGCCAGGGTTTTCCCGGGAAGGGGGGAGATGACCCCTCCCCCACTTCCGCCCCAGGATCTCACTTCTGTCCTCAGGCAGCCTAGGCGCCTGAGGGTGTCCACGGACACCCTCCCCGACGGAACCCTCCGGGCCACTGACTGCTGGCATCCCCGTGGGTACGGCCCTTTCATCATCCTTCTGATTCCTCACACCAGTCTGGGGGGGTGGGGGTGGGGGGTGTTGTGCATATGGGATAGCGAGGGGTAGAACAGGCAGGGCCCCAAGTCGGCCCTGGGCTTTTGACAAGGAAGGAAACTGAGGCTCAGAAAGCTAGGGGACTTGCCCAAGATGCTTACGGCCAGTGAGCGCCACGGAGGCGGGGGGGGGGGGGGGGGGGGGAAGGCACACCCAGCGCGGGGAGGGAGAGGGGAGATAGAAGGGGCGTGGACCGTCGTTCTCTTCAACTTTGCCTACAACTCACTGGTTCCCAGGACCTGCCCGAGCTACCCGGAACACTGCGGGGGTGAAGGGGGGGGGGTGGAGTAGGGAATGGGTTTGCGCATGCGTAAGTAGCGGAGCGGGAGGGGGCGGAGTTAAGGAGGAGGGACGTGGGTAGCGACCATCCCATCCTCGTCTGGCCGGCTAGGCCCGGCCCAACCTCGGCTAAACTGCTGCTCAAATGGCCAGCTTTGTACCTATAACCCCGCCCTGCCTCCTGCTCTCAACTTCCTTCTCCATTGCACTCCTTTTAACTAGGAAGAGAGCATGACTAGGCTTCAGAGGACCTGGATTCGAATCCTGCCTGCCATCTTTGTGACCTTGGGCAAGTCACTCAACCCCTCTGGGCCTCAGTAAAATGAGGAGGGAGGAGGTGGACTAGATGAGCCCTGAAGACCCTTCCAGGTCTAAATCTAATAAGGATCTTGGATCAACCTTGAAGTTGCCACCTTGCAGAGAGAAAGGGGTGGGGGTGGGGGAATCCAGTCCAACCCTCAGGTAGTACCAAGGAGTAGACTGAGGTCCCTGTAAGGGACATCGACTTGGCCAAGGTCTCACTGCTAGCAAGCAGCAGGGTTGGGAGTCGAACCCCAGGTCCGCCGATGCTCCGGGTTCGGTGACCGGGCTCATTCCCATTCGCCAATACATTTCACTGTTTATGAAGCCTGCAGTCACATTAAACGCGCTAAAGTGACCAAACCGTTCGTGTTCTCTAACGCCAGGCTTGGCCACTTGATTGCCTGGTGCCTGGGACTGATAGATGGCCAGGTCTGAAAATGGGAGAGGAGAGGGGGAGGGGATAGGAGAATAAGGAGGGGAAAGAGTAAAGAAGAGGACGGGAGACAGAGAGAAAAGAGGTGAGGAGGGAGAAGAGGGGGACGAGGAAGAGGAAGGGAGGGAGGAGAAAAGAGGGAGGAGCAGGGTTGCACAGCCCACTGCTTCAGATTATTAACCGAGCAAACGCCAGCCCTCTGTCATCCAGAGATACAGAGAATTGAAAACAGAACCCTATTGTCCCTTGTTGACCTTGACTGGTTTCCTTTAGCAACAGGAGAAGTGGGTTAGGGAGGGCGCCCCTGTTGCCTTTAGGTCGCCACCAGTGAAGTAGCAGATCCCAAGCTACCCCTCAGACATTACAGTGAACATCTCTAGCTCTTTATGAAAGTTTATTACATCAGTCAGTCCCAGTCCTTAGAGAAAAGTGCAACAGGAGGAAAAAAGAAGAGCTGAGAGGAGGAAGGAGGTCAGTATTCCCTCCCTGGGAGTCAGTCACTTCATCTGTAAAATGCGAAACCAATGCAGACCTCCCAGGGTCGTGGTAAAACATTCCTTGTAACTCCACCTCTGTCCCTTCTCTCTGTATCTCTCTCCATCTGTCTTTGTCCCTCTCCATCTCGTTTTCTCTCTGCTCTCCTGCCCTCCCTCTTTCTCTGCTCTCTCCATCTCTCTCTGCTCTCTCTTGATCTGTCTCCCTCTCTGTTTCTCTCTGCTCTCCCTCCTTCTCTGTCTCATTCTCTGCTCTGCCTATCCCTCTCTGCTTTCTCCACCTCTTTGTCTCTTCTCTCTCTATATTTCTGTCTGTCTCCATCTCTCTGTGTTTCTGCTTTCCCTCTCTCACTCTCTGCCCTGTCCATCTCTCTGCTGTCTCTCCATCTCTCTCTCCCTCTGTCTGTCTCTGTCTCTCCTAAATACTACCCACTAATGTCCTCCTCTGGATCTGAGCCCCTCTCCATGGCATCATGGAATGGTTCCATGTGAAGGTTCCACACAAAAATGCGATGATCTGCGTGTGTTGACAAATGGCTTGATCAAATGCCCTGCCTGCTGGTAGTGAGTAAAAGCATTGGACTTTGGATCCCTAGAGTTTAGCAATGTGCTTTGCCTATAGCAAGCCCTTAATAAATGGAGACGGGTTCAAATTCTAGCCTGGCTGCTTGCAGTGTGTGTCAGTGACCTTGGATACATAGCTTCCCCTCTCTGGTCTCAGTTTCCTCCTCCATAAAATGAAGGGATTGGACTAGATCTGAGGGTTCTTCTATCTCTAATAGTCCATTATTCTATGAGTAAATTCCTGCCTCGGAAACTTTAAGCAGGACTTTGAAGGGAAGGACATAGAGTGGGGAGAGAGGAAGGTTCTTTCGGTCCTATTTGGGGAAAGTCCAAGAGCTAAGCGCCCGTGCCCCATTTAACTGTTTTGCTCCATTCCTAGAAAGAAGGTTAACTCTGATCTTTTAGTCAGTCATTGGGTATAACAGACAGGATCTCAGTAATAGGGTTTTGGTTTTCCTAAATTACTCATATAATTTGTTGCTTCAGAGCTTCATCTCAACATGCCTAGGGACCTTAATTCAAGTTAAGAAATGCAGATTTATTCAAGTATTCTCCATCCTGACTGTATAAGGAATTTAAAAAAAAAAACGAGAAATGTACCCCCTTGATAGTAAGGCAACTCAGCATATAGGATGGTCTTATTTAGAGAATTTCCACAAGCAATGCATATACTGTGCTTCTTAGATTGGCACAAGGGAATTGTGAATTTCTGCTGCCATGGCAACAGCAGCATTCAGGGCCCCAGGCTCTCATTTATAAATTCAAGTCAACGAGAAGAAAAGGTTTGACATCTTGAATTTTTCCTTACAGCCAACTTTTCAAGAACACATTTTATATATGGAAGGATACTTGTAGCAAGGGGCCTGAAAAGGGGGGGGGGGGGATGAGAATGGAATGAATTTTTTTCCCCTCAGCTCTAACCCAACCCCCAGCCACCCACTTGTCTACCACTGTGGGCTTTAAGCATGGCAGGAAGGAGAAAGGAGAGGAAAGGGAAGAAGCAGCAAGGGGGAAAGGGGAGGGGAGGAGTAGGGAGAGGAAGAATGAAAGAAAAGCAAGCATAGGTAGGCTTTGCTCAGAAGGAAGGGGAGGAATTAAAGGGATTGAAAGAGATTAAAAAAAACCCCTGCTACCCTTTCATTCCACTGCCCCACCCCCCCCACCCCCTCCCACACATGTACCCCAGGAGCCATACAGCAAATGGGTCGGGGCAGACAGTGAGCCTTTGAGGAGCTCAGTCCTCTCCTGATTTTGAGAAATGAATTTTAGCAGAGGGTGGTCAAGGTGTAAAATAACTGCATTTAAGGAATTAGTCATCCCACGGGTATATTTACATTTTAATAGGGCCCTGGGAGAGAGTGGCATAATTGTAAAGGGCATGCTCGTTATTTGGCACTTTGGGGGCATATTTCTAAACATCTTGGGTTGGACTGGACCTAACTGAATTTTTTATACACATGTATACATCTATGTCTATATACATGTATTTACATACATATGTGTTTATATGCATCATTGTATATATGTGTATCTATATCTATGTATCTTTATATGTATATCTCATATCTATATCTACATATCTTTATGTATATATTTAAATCCTTTCTGAAACAAAAAAAGGGGATGGTGCCAAGTTAGATGGAATATTACAATCCTAGGAATGCTATTTAGGTAGGAATCCATATTTTCATTTGTGAAATAGAAGGGGTGGAGTGTATTTCTGTTCATATTTAGGGCCAGAACAAAGAGACCAGACAATGGAAACATCCAAAATGTGAAAGCATCTAAAAGACTTTTATTGGAATGGTAAATCATTTGTTTCAAAGCAAAGCTATTTCTATTTAGGCAAAAGAAAAAAAAAGCTGGGGAGAAGGGAGAACAATCAGAATCACTGGGGCTCAGGGCACTGATGCCAGGGCCTTTAGCTACTCAGAAGCAAGCCCCTTTTATTCCCTCAGGCACCTGCGGTTCTTAAGCTGGGGACCATGCATTCCCAAGGGACCTATGGGTTGATTTCTGGGGCCTCATGAATTTGGGTGGGAAAAAAATTGCATCTTTATTTTCATTAAGCTCTCACTGAAATTTAACATTTCCTTTAATCATGAATTTTTTAAAAAAAATCATTCTGGGAAAGGGTCCATAAGCTTCAGCAGAGTGCCTACAAGGTCCATGGTATCCAAAGGTAAAAACTCCCTCCTAAAGCATAAGCACAACCTGTAGATATGAAGTTAAAAGCCCTGCTCTGTTGTCTCCAACCTGATGGAATAAATCTGTTTCAGAGAAAAATATTAGCTCAAATACCTGAAATTCATCTTTTTAGAGCAAAATGGGCAATCAACAGATCTGATCCACCCAAAAAGTAATATGCCACGATCTCCCCTAAAAATCCAACATCAGAGGGGAGGTTTTCTATTTTCTTTTCTCATCAAAACTCCCCCCACCATTCTGGTTTTCACTTTCTTGGCTACTTTATCGGACCTGGCTATAGGGGACACAGCTAAGGAAATAAAGATGTACCCTTTAGTATGAAACCCAAACAACTGGGAGGGGAAGACAGTTGTATTTTTTTCCCCTTTGGATGAATGTGTTGCTTTATCAGTTGTGAGCCACTTAGCTGGAGGCCAGCCACTCAACAGAATCCCCCCTTTGGCTAGCTGCCTCCCTCGAGACCAGTACAGAGTTGGAAGCGCAGCCAGACAGGATTCACCTTTGCATGGGACATCAGGCTAGGGACAGGGACTGGACGTTTGATTTCACTGAGATCTGGAATGTGTGGAAAGTCCTACCGATGCAGTCTGGCATCTTCTCCACGACTTAAAAGTCTTCAAGAGTTGCCCAGGGCCCAGAAGGATTAGGTGACTTGCCCAGAGCCACACAGTCAGGATAGATCAGAGGGAGGAGTTAAACTCAGGCCTTCCTGGCTTCTAGGCCAGCTCGCTAGCCACTAAAACCTGTTGCCCTCCCCTGCCAGGAAGTGGAGCAAAATCATTTGGGACCCAAACATTTCCCATATCTTAGAATCCGATCCAGATACCCCGTGTCCTCCAGCATTCTTGATGCCATAATTCACACACAAATCAGTCGAACATTTGTTCTTGAAATGTCTTTGTTGATGGCAACTTCAGAGGCCTAATGAGCAAACTTAGAAAGGAATATTTAAACAGTTTTCTTTCCACTGCTTCCTGTTCCCCTCCCTCCCCCTCAGAAGAAACCACATACTATTCATCTGGCATCACTCCTATTCATTTCAGATCCCCAGCAGTCTGTAATTTCTGTTTCTAAAAATGTTGATCTCACTTTAAAGCACTGTTCCCGTGTTGAACCTCCGTAAACAATGCCATATATTCATTACATGTTGATTTTGGCAAACGACACAGCAACGCATACAGCGCAGGGTAATGGAAAGTCACTTAAAGGAAAATGGGGGTGCCTATGGGGTGCTTTTAGTAGCAAAGGCTCTACGGTAAGTGATGGAGGCCATATCGCTCCTTGCCCTTTTATCAGCCTTGAGGGTTAGGGTTTCAAATTGGTCCCTTGCTTGAATGGATACTCTTATTGCATGTTTGCTATTATTGAAGTGTAGAAAGATAAATCCATCTGAACTTAATGTACTCATGAAAAAACATGCTTCACATGCTAAGAAAATGCATTTGCACAGTTGAGTTTCTAATTCCTATTTGCCAATTTCTGGAGCTTAGTGCCCTGGTGATGTGTCATTTGAAAACTGAAGGGGGAAAAAACAACAACCCACAAAGCCACAGTACCAATTATCACCTGGGGAACATTTGCCTCTTAGCTCCTCCCATGGAAACTCAGGCTCCTTGGGCTATGATTTTCTGCCCATTTTCAGCCACGTAATTGAAGGATACTGCAGCGCTCACGTTGACTCAAAGCCCAGAGACCCAGTGCTCAGACACAGACCAGTCTTTGCACACACACCTTCAAAGAGAAGATTAAGCCTCAGCTGGGGGGTCAGGCAAGGGACCCATCACCTGGATGTTTTTCTGACTTTTCAGTGGAAAGGGGCTTCTTTCTGTTGATCACCAAAATGAGCAACACAGGGCCATGCTAAGGAGCCCCAAGAGTATGTGTCATGCACAGTACACAGTTTCCATCTACAAAAGAATTGGAATATCGGAATGGCCATAAGTCATCATGACAAGTGCCAAATGATAAACATGGCTTATGGCTTCTTTAAAAATCACAGCAGAAACACATCAAAATTGTACACAAGTACTTGCTTGGAAAAATCCAGGAGAGCACTGAGGCATCAAATCAATTAGACAGATTCTCTTCCCCTCCCATTTTATTTTGGATTCTCATATGCTTAACAACAGGAGCTCTAAAGATATTTAAGCTGCAGTAACAATAAAAATAATAATATAAAAGAGGTTTTTGCATTACGATTACAAAAGGGGGGGGGGGCATGGATGCCCAGACAGATCACAATACCACTCCATCACATCTACTTGTAATTTTACAATAATCATCTCCCAGAAGCTCTAACCATATAACATTCACATTTTAATCATGTATTCCATTGGTTATTGTTTGGACGCCGAGCACACCAAGCAACAAATTGATGCTGTAGACATGAAGCCTATTGTTTTCTGGAAGCCAAGATCATTTTGCTATTTTAGAAAAGCAACTGCGGTGGCGAATCCCTCACAGGAGGCATAGGGTTCATGCTTGCTGCTGTGCCAGGGCTTGGGCTTCCTAAAAGACAAAGACAAAGTCAATTAAAATGCCCCCCAAACAGCTGCCTGGAGTTACTAGGGCAAAATTGGGTTAGTCTAAATAACCATCAAGTTCCCTACGTTCCTGGACACTAGTTGCTCAGAAAGTAATTGTAGGTGAGCCTACTGGTGATCATTCCTAAGTTCAGAAGGATGTGACACCTTCCAGTTCATAAAAGTTTACAAATTTTTCAGCCTATAAGCTTTACAACCCCATAAGCTAAGAAGAGTGAGGATTATTAAACCCATCGTAGGGATGCTCAAACTGGTGGTCACAGAGGTAAAGTAATCTGCCCAAGAATCACACGGGGAGTTAAGTAGCAGAGTCAAGACAAACCCAGACCTTCTGACTCCCACTCTACTGCCCAATGTAGATGAGAAATCAACAACCTTTTATGTGGCAGTCTCTAATTTCAGAAACTTGTAACATCCCTTTCCCACAACTCCAGACCTCCTCTGATGCCTTGCTGAGGCCCAGAGGTGGCTCTGGGGTATTGAAGATTATACCAATGGAATCCTCAGAGCCTGAGGAGATGGAGTCTGGGGCCCAGCCCAAGGGCTAGAGGGCTAGTCACAGAAGTTCCAAACGGTGTCATAGAAGGCACAGAGGTGCTTGGAGGGAACACCTGCAACAACAGGCCTTCTGAGCAACTGTCCAGATGTCTGCCTCCACTGGGCTCTTCCCATGGGAGCACACGATGTCAAACATGGGGTAGTCTGCAACAAGCCACTGATGAGCCTGGTGACTCAAACATCTGTAATGAGTCAACCTTCTGGGTAATAAAGAACAAAACCCTTGCAGTTGAAAAGAGGCTGGGAAAGATGCCTGGCACACCAGTAAGGACCACTGATAGCGCTGGCAGGCAGCTTTCTATCTCCTGACAGCACATAATATCCTGGTGGAACTTCTCCATCTTTCTTTTTTTTTTTCCATCTTTCACAAGGCCAAATGAAATGCACACATTTCCTTCTTCACCTCCCTTTTATTTTTTTTAAGGGGGATGGGCGGGTGGGGAGAAGGTAAAGAACCCTGTGGCCAGAGGTGAGAACATTCATAGTCTGTCCTGAAGGAACCTAACAAGTTTGAGAAGGACAACAGAGTGTAAGAGAAAAAAAAATCCATTGGCTTTAGGTTTGAATATTGGTTCTGTCTCTTATTACCCATGAAATCTTGGGTGAGGCCTTCCCTTCTGTGGGCCCCAGTTTCCTCATTTGGAAAATGAGGGGGCTGGACTAGATGGTATCTGAAGTTCCTTCTGATCACATGAACCAAAACAGAACAGGAATAAGTCTCTACCAAAATCTTTGGTAAAAGACCACACCAATGCTCCTCTCCCAGGCAGGACAGAAAAGCAGAAACTCAACCCTAACTGACCAGCACAGTGACTTTAAAGAAGGGGGAAGAAATAGAACGATGTGACCAGACTGGGCTAGACATGCGCCTCCCTCAGCAGCAGGCTGCCTGTGGGCAAGTATAAACTTTGATGCACAAATGTTTAGACAGAAGCTCTATTGAAGGTGGGCAGGAAGGCCCTGGGGTTTCAGCTCCAAAGGTGAGCAGTTCTAGAGAGGCCCCTTCTGGCGATTTGGGCAGTCCAGTTGGAAAGCAAGCAGACTCCAAGTGCCAAGAGAATGAGGGCCCGAGGGCTCATTAAGACACATCATTGTGGTTCCCCCATAGCCTGGGGCAGGGCTGTGATTCTCTGAAGCCAGTGTGTCTCCAGGATGGAGAGCTTGCTCTGCATAGACCAAAGGGAAGGTCAGGTCGACTCCAAAAGAGAAGTCACTGCGTCTTGCTGAGCCTCGCTTTCTCCATTTGTGAAATGGGGCTCTCCTACCTACCAACCTCCCAGCAATTTTTAAATCTTTCAGTGCCATGGAAATGTGAGTTATCTGTCGTCAGGAATTCCACCTGGTCTATTTCACAAAATTTCACAAACAATCAGTGCTGGGGGGGGGGGTCTCATTAAGCCAGAATATAAAAAAATGAAATAAACTCTAACCCCAAATAACAGCAAAATGGACATTACTCAGCAAGGAACACTTTCCTTGGTAAGAGATACCTAGCTGGTCCTCCTAATTTAGAGGGGTAAGAAACTGGGACTGCACATTAACGCTAATGCTGGCTATGTCTCTAAGGCCAAGACTTAGCCAGTACTGGATGGCAAAGTCCCATCTGCTTTGGGGGCCCCAGACCACCTTGGTGCCAATCGAGCAGTCTGGCTGCAGGAGCAGCAAGCTGAATAAAGGTGCCACCTGCCTAAGGCAGCCCAAGGAAGGCCTCTGCTATGGTTGTGGCCCATAGACACACAGTGTCTGTTTCCTACCTTCTCTCCCTTGTCATTTTTCTTACCTCAGTAGCTGGGCCTTGATTAACCACAATGCTCAGGGAAATGGGGCTTGTGGTTAAATATAACTTTCTGGGTAAGTGAGTCAGCCTCAAATTTCTGTTTCAATTTTCATAAACAATGTTTCTAAGCAGCTTTAGTAAGGAAAACCCAAGGGCCAGGGTTGACTTTTCTCTCTGCTGAGCACCATGCTCATTGTCCATGGAGAGGGTAAGGAGACAGGGTTGCATCTGCACAGGGCCCATATGCAGCATACGCCGGAGCGGGCTCGCTTTGCAGCATGGAAACGAGCAAATACTCCAGACAAAGACCACATTTGTTCTTTTGTTGCCTGTCCACATGTGGCAAAGTGGTGGCTAAAATGTTCATACGGCAAATTCAACCTAAAAGTGTGTCCTGTGTCCAGGTTTTGTTTTCTTTGGTTTTCCTGGTTGTTAAACACTCCTCCCTACGGCATGCCTCTCTCTCCACTCACACATGCCCACCCCTATTCCAGATTCTCCTCACCTGCTACCACATTACTACAATGGGCTTCTCGTCGGCCTCCCTACCTTAAGTCTCTCCATACTACACGTACAGCTGTCAAGGCCATTTTCCTAAAGCTTAGGCCTGACCATGTCATCGTCATCTCTCTCCTTAACAAACTCTAGTGGCTCCCTATTATCTACCTCTAGACCAGATAAAAAACTCCCCTGTTTGGTATTTAAAGCTCTTTACAACGTGGATCTTATATTTTACTCCCCTTTACATACTCTATGATCTAGCTATGCTGGTTTGCTTGCAAGTCCCTGAAGGTGACCTTTCATTTCCTACCTCCCTACCTTTGCACTGGCCGCCCTCCATGCCTGCAGGGCTCTGGTCCCTCACCTCAGCCTCTTAAGTTTCCCTGAAATCCTTCAAGTCTCAGTTCAAACCCCCTCTTCTAGAGGAAGTCTTTCCTTCTCCCCTCCATACCCCTCATAGCGTTCTCCTGTTGAGATCACCTTTCACTTATACTATATTTATCTCATGTGCATCTTGTAGGTATCTAGTTATTGCCAAGTCATTTCCTTCATTAGAGTGGAGCTCCGTGAGGGGCAGGGACCATTTGTGTCTTTCTTTCTATCCTCATTTAACCCAGAATCTAGTAGGTGCTGCTTATATACTTGGTGACTTACAGACCAACACCAGAAGTAGCTTTTCTTGAATAAATTCCTATAATCAACATGTTTCCTTATGCCCTCCCCCAGGCTCTCCCCCCCCCATCTAGTTATCTGATCATTCTGGTTAATTGTTTTTTTGGTTAAATTGAAGTTGTACCATATTGAGAAATGTGCTCTTTTTTCAATGCTGCTGTTTTTAAATCCCATCAAGCCAAAAGAATGGCTTGGAGTACGGGATTGCTTAGCAATCACATGACCATTACCCTTGTCCAGGCCTTGATTACCTCTTGACTGACTGTTACAATCACCTCCTAGCTGGCCTCTGAGCTTTACCCTTTCCCATCTATTGGAATCTACTACCAAAATAAGCTTGCTAAAGCCCCAGCTGACCTTGTTGCTCCCTACTCAACAATCTTCAGGAGCCATCATTGTCTTGAACAAGCTCCTCAGCTGGCCACTTCAAGCACCGGCCTCCCATCTTGGGCTCCAAGTTTATTTCACATCATTCCCTTTCCCACAAATGACCGTGTACCTACTGTGCGCTTATTTATCTGAAAGCAAGGATGAAGACATCATCTAGGAGCTGCCTTTCAGCTCTTAAGCCTATGTTCCTAAGCAAAGATGACACTGAATCTGCAAGAAAAACTAGACTGGAATCCCTCATGGTCCATAACCTCTTAACAACAAGGCTTTAACACGGGCCTCAAGAAAGTCCCCTCCAGCGGGGGGCTGGGCCATCAAAGTGCCCCCAGCTTGGCCACATGCCATGAAGCTTGTTCAAAATTTACTTGTCTTTTTATAGAACAGCCTTCCAGAAATTTCTTCATAGAACACAATGGATTCTATAACCAATTAAGGCTCCTCAAAGTTCGGGCATATGTAGTTATTGTACCAGTCAAAGAGTAAAACAAAGAGGCCCTAAAGTGAGTCAGCTTCAAGTAAGGAAGGAAGGAAGTGAAAGGAGGGAGGAAGAAAGGAAGAAAAGGAAGGAGGGAAGGAAATGAGGAAGGGAAAGAGAAAGGAAGGAAGAAAATAAGCATTTATGAAGTAACTACTACACATCAGTCACTGTGCTAAGCTCTTTTTACAAATATTACTTCATTTGATCCTCACAACAACCCTGATTGGATAAGTGCTATTATTATGCCTACTTTATGGTTGAAGAAAATTAGACAAACAGAGGTTAAGTGACTTACCCAGGATCACACAGCTAATAAGTTTCTGAAGCCAAATTTGAACTCAGCTTTTCTTGACTCCAAACCTAGCACTCTGTCCCTTGTGTCACCTAGCTGCCCCATTTGCTCTCGAATGAGAAGGTCCCAGTTGGAATCCTCGATCTGTGCCTTACTTGAGCTTCTCTCCAACAGGCCAGCCCATCTCCCATCTACATGCCTTTGCACTGGCCAGCCCGCCATGGAAGGAAGGTTTTGTCTCCTCACCTCTGCGTCCTAGTTTCCTTCCCTTTCTCCAGCTCCCCCTCTGACAGTGTCTTCCCCTCTGAGATGACCTTCCATCTCCTCTGCATGCGTATTCTACGTATGTGTTACATGTTGGCCTGTTGTCTTCTTCCGCTCTAGAACATGAGCTGCTGGAGGCCAGCTTCTGTGTTTTTGCCTTTCTTTGCATCTCCAGTGCTTGGCACAGTGCCTGGCATACAGCACACACCTAATAAATGCTTGTTGAATTGACTGACTGCTCTGGTCCTCAGTTTCCTCCTCTGTAAAATGAGGGAGATGATTCCTAAGGTCCTTTCCAATTCTAGAGTCTATTATTTTACTTAGGAGAAGTAACAAATGCATCTGAGGAACTAGCTTTCTGGAAGCAATACCGATGAGAGAAATCCTCAAATCATAGACTATTAGAGCTCAAAGGGGCCTGAGAAGCCCCTTGGACATCTACAGCCTCATGGCTGTGAACGCCTATTTGGTTTCTTGGTACAGGAGAAGGAGCGCCACATTTGGAGTCAAGTGAGCTGGGTTCAGATCCCAGCTCCGCCCCACAATGCCTCTGTGAACTGGTGGGTGTCACTTAACCTCTCTGAGCCTGCTCACTCATCTGAAAAACGGAGACAGGATCGTTACAAAACTCAAATGAGATAATATTTGTAAAGCACTTCAGAGGACTTCAAGCACTATATAAATGTCACCTATAATTACTGACCTAATGTGGAATAACAGAGCAGCAGCAGCAATAGGAGTCATAGCAGCAGCAGCAGCAGTTGTAACGATGGTAGTGACCGACATTTTGATAGTACTTTAAAGTTTGTCACACTTGAGCCTCATAGCAGTGCTGTGTAACACACACACACACACACACACGCACGCACACACACACACGCACACACACACACACCACACGCGCACACACACACACACACACACACACACACACACACACACACACGCACGCACGCATACACACACACCCCCGACCTGCGATTCACTAAAAAGCTGTCCATTGATGCCCCTACTTGGCTTGAGTATCACTAATACATTTACAAAGCAAAGTCTCTGAAGACTTAAATTAGACAGAGCTTAAAATAGGTCATTTTGTCCATGGGAAAAGCCAGTTTGGCAAGGAGTAGCCTTGGGAGGGTGACTCAGATCAGCACGCTATGGTCTCCAGTGAAAGCAGTAAGCATGTCAAGCCCGCCTCTCCACACTGAAGGCAGAGTTCCCATTAGCTGCGCTGCCTACCAGGGAAATATAGAGATATTGTCAAGGGGCCATTCATTGTGGTCTTTATTTTAGGCTTTGTCTCTTTGATTTGGGCTCTCCTGGGATGATACATTTGAAAAGGAATCTGCCTTTGGCAAGTAAAAGGTCTCACATTCAGCCAGCAGTTCACTGGCCAGCTTTTGAACCCCAGGGCTCACTTGTCAGGCTCGCCAATGTATCCCTGTGTACCATTTCTCTTCACATGCTGCCAAGAAAATGACCACGGCCTGAGACACATGTTGTGATTGAGGAAGGGACAAGACAGCTCTAAGAATGGAGTCTTTAACATTCTTTTTGAGCTGACCGATGGGAAGCTGGCTGCCTTCAGAAGCTTGGTGGACAAGTCTCACTGTTGCCTCTCTTAGCCTGGGATGTGATGGGTCACGTTTGGCTGTCCAGTCAGGGTCGCCAGAACTGCCAGGATTGCCTTGTATTTGGGAGGAGTGGGGATTGCCAGTTTGGGATAGCCTCTTAGGACTGTTATACAATATCAGAAATCATCATCTGTCAACTAGGAAGCAGAAAGAGAGCCTACCTTTGACCCAGGTGGGGCTGTCAAGCCCAAAAAGGCATACACTGCATTATTTTCTCTGGCTTCAAAGAAGGCATCATAATCCTAAGTGAAAAAGAGAGCAGAGAGAATTAGGAGTGTTGAGGACCATGAAGGAAACAAGGATGGCAAACAGCAGGACTGGGTCAATTTTGGTGGCCCATGGGTAAGACTGAGATACTTTGTCTTTGCTGCAGAATGATCTTGATGCCACAGTGCTAAACAAAGGGCAAACCTTGGGCCCACGGCAGTCCTGGGGGCTTTGGAGGCAAAGCAACTTGTGAATCCCTTCCTCCAACCCATGTCTCTCTCTCTCTCCTTTTTTTTTTTTTGCCTTTTGGTAAAGCAATAGGAGTTAAGTGACTTGCCCAGGGTCATGCAGCTATAAGTGTCAAGCATCTAAGGCCAGATTTGAACTCAGGTCCTCCTGACTCCAAGGCCAGAGCTCTATCCACCACACCACCTAACTGTCCCCCATGTCTAATTTCAAGCCATTGTGGATAGTTGCATCTTGGGAGAACCCTACAATTTCTCAGTGAATAGAGGTTCCCTCTCCCCTCTGCTTAGAAGTGGTCTTCCCCTACTTTGCTTCTCTCCCATTATCAATCAAAGAAATGTTCACCAGGACCTCAGCTAGTTCGAGTTTCTGAGGAGGTCCTTACGCAAAGGATGGAAATGATGGGTACTGACTTTAGATCCCCATGAGGGGCATCTGGGGACCTGAGCAACAGCAATCAGATCTCTGAGAAGTTAGAAGCCAGGATAAACCAGGGCCTGGAAGATTGAGGGCAGCTACAGGTGTGGTTACAATCATTGTTATCCTGCCAGGCCCATAGACCTTCTCCTAAGTGACTGAAATAGTCACTCAAACAAGGCCGTAGGACACAACCCAAATTGAGCCAACCTAGTAAACAAGTGGCATTTTCGGATCTTGTCTGTAATTTGAAAAACTGCAGCAAAGTTAAACCTGCTGTTCTGCCTGATTTATTAGAAGTGAAAAAGTGGTCCTGATGGGTTTGCTTCTCCAAGATGACCTCTCTCACAGCTTGCCAAGTGGGACCAAGGCTCCCTGCACACATAATACAGCCAATGTTTAGGGCCCCCCCTGGGACTAGAGGTGCCTCACCCCAAGAAGAAGCCCAAGCAATCATTACTCTCTTATTGTTGGCTTCTTTCAGCAAGGAGGGGCTCGCTTTTGCCACATCCAAAGTTTTCTCCAGAAATCAAGGCATCCATTTACAAGCAATGTATTTCATCAAAGGCACCCCTAGCTGCCATCAATGCCATCTAGCCTTTGAGGGAGGGAGGTAGTGACACCTCCAGATGTGAAGCTAACTGACTTTTGACATCAATGGCTCATAAACAGCTCAAGACAAATCATGGAATTTTACGGGGGGGGGGACGACAGCTAATGCAACCCATACCCAAAAAGGAATCTGCAAGTCGGCATCTAGGCTCTGCTTGAAGACCTCCAGTGGGGGCAAGGGGGGGCCCCATTACCTTACCTCCCCAAGCAGCCTCTTGTACTTTGGGATAGCTCAAATGATGAGGAAGTGCTCCCTTACATTAGGCCTTAATTTGCCCCTTTGCAACTCTGACCCTTTGAGGCCTAACAGACTCAGTCTAATCCCTCTTCTACCCATAATACTTGACTTGAGAGTAACCTTGAACCTCTACTGTTTAAAAAAACAGTCTTCTCCAGACTTGGCCCAGAAGTCATTTTTTGTTGACCGTCTCCAAAGCAGCAAACACACGCCACCTTGGCCCCCAGTAACAACTGTGAAGACAGGCAGTTTTGCTGCTAGTTCAGAATGGGATCAGACCCTGGTCAGGGGCTCCTGCTACAGTCCGAGGATCAGAGCTAAGAGCCCTCTGTCACATGCTGGCTGCTAAGGGCCACAAATCTAGGGAGACTTGAAAGATGCCTTCCAATTGTAAGCTTCAGTAGCACTTGAGACATTAAAGAATCGAGGTTTTCTCAAAGAAAAAAAATCTTTTTGTTTTTCCCACCTGAAAACAAAGCTGGTGAGCCTTGGATTACACTAGCACAAGACAGATGGGATCCCCAGGCCTTTCCTAATAACAGACAGACTCTCTTGTGGAAAAAAGCTGGTCGTGCCAGCTTGGGCTCGGGTTCTTTCCTGGCACTTCTCCTCCGGCTGTGGCTGCTGCTGCTGCTGCTACAGATTGGCACGGGGAAGAACAAAAACTGCCCTCTCCTGCCCTCCCCAATAAAGACTGGTGGCAAAGAAGGGGGGAGGTTAATGGATGTGAAAACATCCATCTGGATGCAGGAACCCAAGTGAGCCAGTGAGGGAGCTATCAAGGTCTCCTTTTGTCTCAAGGCCAATGACACTTACCTGGGATTTCTCTGCACAGAGGGGCCATTTAACAAATGGCTGCTGAACTGAATGACATTTGGCCACTTCAGAATTATTTTAGGTGCTTAAAAAGCACCTGTAGACTTGGCTCAAGCTCTAATTGGTTCACAGATGTCCCTCTTGTCTTTCCAATTAGACTGTAAGCACCTCAAGGGCAGAACCTGTGTTTTCAACCTCCTCTTATCTCTACCTGCTGGGGCTCAGCATGGTGTCAGGTACATAGCAAGTGTTCAATAATCCCCTTCTGGAATGAAGGCATGTCTGAATAAACGCAAACATGAATGAATGAATGAATGAATGAATGAATGGGGGCAGAGACAGTGTTCTAACTTCCAACAGCCCTTTCAATTCTTTATGATGTCACAGCAGCAAGTAAATATTTGTTGAACTGAACTGAGCAAGACATTCTAAGCAGCCAATTAAAAAAATCAGTCAAAACAAGAGTGCCATATGGGATGACTCAGGCTCATGTGCATTATGCAGAGAACTGAGCAAGACGATAGGGGAAGATGAACAGACGAGAGCAAAGGTTACTGACCAAAGTGAACCTGCCTAATGGCTAGCTGGGATTAAAACCCAGATCTCTGGAGGCTGCTAAACCTGCTGGTGGCAATGACAAGGCTGCTGGAGCTGACCTCCATTAAACATGGCTGCCCCAAGCGGACTCTCCTACCAAGAAGTGGAGCCCCAGGGGCTCCTGGAACACTGTTTGAAAATCACCTCCCCCCAGATCTTTCTATCAAGGCCTTGCTTCAAAGGAGTTTAACTATCAGAGATCACAAACTGTTAGCAGGTCAGGCTAGACTACTCTTGTTTCCTTTTTGGACAGGGTTACTAGACTGTTGATTTGAAGGAAAAAGGATTCAATGTCTCACACATCAAACCTGAGTGTGGTGGGGCACTCCATCACAACCAGTATGTATGGGGATGTGGAAACCCTATGGCTGATTCAAAGACAAAATAGATCTTCAAAACCTCCTCTGTGAAAACAACTGTGGACTGTGAGGAAAAACAAGGTGGAGGATTTTGGGGGTTTTTTTACCTACTTAAAGTTAAGTAATGAGAAGAGCAGAAAACTTTCCAGGGGCTTCTGCTACAGATATACCAGAAATAAAACACCTAGCTGTTCGGACTGGAAGAAATCAGGATGAAGACTAGTAAAGGAAATCTGAGATCAAATCCCTGTCTAATGGCACTCCATTTCCTGTGGAGGATTCATGTGTCTGACAGCAAACCGGCCAAAGAACACTCCAGCCTTCTGAGACAGCAGTTAAAGAGGGTACAGAGGTAAAGGACTAACTGGAAAATGGGCAGAATTCCTGAATTGTCCTTACCCCACGGTACTGGCACTCGTTGAAGATCTGAGGGGGAAGTGGGTTCCCTGTGGCTGGACGACTTTCTTCAGGTACATTTTCACGCATCCATTTCCGATTCTCTTCATTGGCTGCGATATCTTTCTCTTCAAATCCTATCTTGTTTGCTTCCAAGAAGCCCAAGACATCTTGCTGTTTCTTCTTAATCTAGAACATAAAGGTCATTCCCCCCCCACCAAAAAGAAAATATTACTGATGAACAGACAGAGATGACTTTAGATATGTTGATTTCAGGCCAAGTGAGTGTGGATTAAAAGAACTGGAATGATGAGGGCGGAGCCAATATAGCCACCCTCCCAGCAAGAGCCTGCTTCCCTTCTCACGTCTGCTTACTGAGGGCCTTGAAAGCAGGCCCCCAAAGCTTTTTGTGAGCCCCTCACACAGCTGACAACCATGAATAGCCTTAAGGAATAGACCTAATACTTGATGAGGCAGCCAGACTGCTCAGTTTATTTACAATACAGAATATTTTCAATATAAATGATCCTTGCCCAGCTCTTTTGCATGCAGCCACATGTTTAGGGTGGTGTGGCCTGCCAAGTGGGCAGCATGTGATGGTAATCTTCTCATTCCCTCGCGGGGCTTAAACTGAAGGGACTGCACTGAACAGATGTGACTGAAAACCATACACTCCAGGCACAATTTGGGGTGAAAATTACACAGCTTCTCTAACAAATGAAATGTATATCTCCTACAGGAAAAAAAAAAGGCTTTGGGATTGTTGTCATCCTCTTTCGGACATGGATGCAATTTGCAAGTAGATGGAGGAGGCGCCCAGGAATGTAAGTCAATCTTTTTGAAGCCCCCAACCCAGAGAACACTAAGCCACTTCTGGCCATGTGTCACAAGTCTGAGATTTAAGGTACCTTCCCTTCCCCCCCCCCCAGCCCCAGCACAGGGCAGAGCAAGGAGCAACTGCTGCCTGGAGGGAACAGCTGTTTTCCAGCAAGCTACGCTAAGCTTCTCGTCTGTCGTGCCAAGGGTCGAGTTTCTTTGAAAGAATGGAAACTAACACTGGCTCAGGGATGACTGACAAGGTTTCTGCCTTAGAAAAAAACCAGTGTGAGCATTCAGAATGGCAAGGGATGAACAAAACCTTGCCCCCAATGCTGCAGATGACAAATCCAGAGCTACTTTAATGAAAGCAAACGCCAACCAACCCCAGAACAGTTCAGGCCCAGAGGAAGGGGTGGGGTGACCTCATTTTATAATTGTGCCATTATGTTTTCACAATGAACACCTTAATAAGTCCTGAAAGAGACCAAATGCCAGGAGACAAATGTCTAGAAGTGACTGACAGAGACTACTTTTTTGTTATTATTTGATAATGTGATACGGCAGAAAGATTACAGTATTACATTAGGGGCATTATTATTGAATGCCTACTGTGCGTAAGGTGCTGTCCAAGGTACTGGGGAGCATAGAGGAAGCATACCACCACAGAGTACCTTGCTCTCAAGGAACTTACGATCTAGATGGACAGATAAGATATAAACATTAAACAAGATATAAATATCCCTCATAAGATGAGGGATCAATGAGATGCAGCCTAGTGTGGCGACAGATTTAAATCCTGCCTTCCACCCAGACAAGCTGTGTGACCACAGACAAATCACATCACCTCTCGGCACAGTAGGCAACTCTTCAGTCTGCATCTGTGGAAGGAACTCCCTATGCTGGGAGGTCCAAATCATAATCCCTCTCCCCTACCCTACAAAGAAGCCAAGAGATATGATTAGACAGTATTGAAAGAATAGTGCTAGAACATTCAGAAGATGGTGAGACCATTAATCAAATTATTCATTCAACAAGTATCTATTACCCATCTATTGCATGCCTAACACTATACTAGTGCTGTGGGGACAGACACAGACGTGTAACGCAAGGTCTCTGCCTTCAAGGAACTTACCATCTAGTGGAGGAGGGGACTGTGACATGTACATAGATAAAGAAATAAATTAGGATATAAATAGAAAAAGAGCATTTGTGAGAGGCAGCCCTGGGTTCAAGTCATGTCTCTGATGCATACTAGTGCCACGTGCAACAGTCTAAAACTAGAAGGTATAAACAAGTTGCCCATCTGAATCAAAGAAGGGAATTTCCACGATTAGAATTCACAGCATTAAAATCACAGATCCAGGGGCAGCTAGGTGGCGCAGTGGATAGAGCACTGGCCCTGAAGTCAGGAGGACCTGAGTTCAAATCTGGCCTCAGACCAAACACTTGACACTTACTAGCTGTGTGACCCTGGGCAAGTCACTTAACCCCAATTGCCAAAAAATTTTAAAATATCACAGATCCAGACCAAAACCAGACCAAACCAAACCAAACAACACAACAGTTCAAAGGCTTGAGGATCAGTTGAGAAAACAAAATGCTATGAGGACAGAGAAGGAAGAATCACTTCTTCAATACCACTACTGGGTTTAATAGGAACTGAGGCAAATGCTGCCTACAGCAGACTTCCTAGTATTGGCCTGGATCCATGATTTTTTTGGGGGGGGCAATGGGGGTTAAGTGACTTGCCCAGGGTCACACAGCTAGTATGTGTTATGTGTCTGAGGTTGGATTTGAACTCAGGCCCTCCTGAATCCAGGCCGGTGTTCTATCCACTGCACCACCTAGCTGCTCCTTGGATCCATGATTTTATCAGGGTGACCACTCCATCCAGCAACACAGATTTCAACAATTTCCTTCACCTTAGACTAGGCCATTTCATGAGCCAAAGAAATTTAGCAGTTGGTCACTGGTCTTTGAGTGACGAGCACACTTGGGGCCCTTCCACCCTGCTAGGCCCTGGCAGAGTGTGTGGCCCAGCCTTTGAGGGCCCAGACTCATCTCTAGGCTACTAATCAATCGAAAAGCAACTACTATGTTCTATATTGAGGCATCAGAGTAGGAAGTGAATGGAAATAGATAGATGCACTTAGTGTTTGTATCATGAGAACCTACCCTACGAAGTTTGAGTTAACTGACCTACCTTGAAACAAATGAGACAACATAAAGCTATAACAGATCCACTGGATTCTGAGCATTGAGAACATTAAAACTGGAAGGGACCTTGACAATAATCTAAACCAGGGGTCAGCCAACTATGGTTCATAGGCCAATCCCTGATATAGATAAACACCACCCCCCCTTTTATAAAGATAAAATGTAAGCTCTCTGAGGACAGGGACTGCTTTGTTTCTGTCCGTGTCTCCCTAGCACCAGTGCCTGGCACATAGTAGGTGCTTACTAAAGACCAGTTGAATTGAATTGGGTGGATGATCACAATTTCTACTGTTAAACTCTTTGAATTTACAAACTGATGCCTACAAATGGATTTTTTAAAAAGACACATCAAAGAGTGGATTTAAAAAAAAAAAAATATATATATATATATATATATATATATATATATATATATATATATATATGTAGTACCCAGTCTTCTTCTCCAACTGGTACAGTTTCTTTTCAAAGGCCACTTCAGGAACGGTGGCTCTGCTTCCAGCAGAGTAAGAGGGAGGGTGCAGGAAAAGCACAGCTGTTTACCTAGCCGGCTCCTCAAAATTTACCCTGGGACAAAACAAGCTGATGTTTCATCTCATAAAACACTCCTAGAGGCAAAGTCTAATGTGAAAGCCCTGCCCCCAGCCACTGGTCAGGCCACCAGACTGATCCTGGGACTGTTTTTAATGAATGTCATCATGGGACCTTAACTCCCTGGCTTCCTCTTGCTCAATCCAATCACCACAACAAGACACACTTATTTCCAGCTGTTCATTTTGCAATGTTTTCAAGGGCTGGGTCACAGGCAGCCAGGCCAAAACTCTTCCTTCACATATTCTCCTCAACCCAGCCAAGAGGCCAGGATGAAGATGACAACAGACACAGTTTCTTGTCCCCTGGGATCACTGGATCTCTCCTGCCAGAGGCCCCAAGCTTCTACTTGCCACCAGGGAAACAACCTCAGGTGCTCTGCTGGCCTTTGTCCCTTCTTCTTCTGGCAGGGGTGTGTCTTCAGGGTTTTGGAGTGAGAAAGGCTAAGATCATTTAGTGCAAGGGCCTTATTTGACAAAAGAGGAAATGGAGGCCCAGAATGGGGGGAAAAAGTTTCCCAAGGTCATATAGGAAGTAAGTGGTTGTGTACAAACCCATATATAAGTGCAATCACGTGAGGAGAAGAGTTAGTGGGTCCTGCCCCTAAGCAGACTGACCCTGGGGAAAGAACCAGAACAGCTGTTTTGAAAAGAATAAGGCTCCAGGAAGCCGGGTGAAGCTAGAGGAACACTCTACTCCCCAGCAGTCACTAGATTTTGCCTTCTCATTTAGCTCAAAGTCTTCCTAAGCTTGTGTTACCTGCTCCACCAACTGGTTGGCCTTCTTTTCTCAATCCCAGGGATCTGCAGCACTCCATCTATCCCTAGCTACCAAGCCAGCCTGTCTTCCCAGCTTCCAGTGGCCCACTTCCCAATTGAGGCTCCACCCCCTCTCCTCCCAGGCAGGGAGAGCCAATCCTCATCCATACCAACAGGTCCCAAAGGCAGCAGTGATGGCAGAGCTGGGATAGGAACCCAAATCCCTTGACTCCCAAGCCCAGGATCTTACCACCACCACCTCTGATGCTGTTTTAGCACATGCTGTTTTCCATTTTCCCATTAAAAAATAAAATAAAATTATCTACAGAGCTAAGCAAGACATAAGTAAAGAACATTTGATTCCTAAGATGATAAGTAATTAGATTCAGATTGGAAGAACTACATACCTAAGAACAGTTTGGTACCTCTCACTTTACTTCTAAAGAGATGCTCAGACCCGTGGTGGTTTCAAAATGAAGGTTTGGTAATGACGTCCCTGGTACTGATCAGGTTAAGTACCAATTTTGAGGTTGTTTCCCAAAGGGGCCCTTCTGGCTCACATGCATGGGGCAGTCAGGACATCCCAATGCTCCCTCCTTCCAGCACTCTCTAAATGAAATGCTGGCACAAACCAGCCTCTTCTAATCTGCCCCTCATCCATGTGACTGTGCCCAGCTGTTTGTGTGTTGCTGCCCCATTAGGCTGTGGACTCCTTGAGGGAGGATATTTTTGGCCTTTCTTTAGAGCTCCAGTGCCTGGCACATAGTAGGTCCTTCATAAATTCTTGTTGACTTGACAACTTGA